AAGTGCTGGGTTTACATTCAGTTTTATATCATAAAAGCTGCTTATTAAAAGCATTTATTGCCTAACAATATGCAAGACCTGCTTCAGGAAATATTTCAAATATTTTTTGTAAGATATTGGCAAAAGCTTTGAATTCAGACTAGTTATAAGTGATTTTAATCTACTCTTTAAAGCAGGTCCAGGAGGTGGTTTACATAGTAATATCCTTCAGAGCTGGTTGTGGTGGCTCACACCTATAATCCCAGCTACTCAGGAAGTAGAGATTGGGAGGATTGAGGTTTGAGGACAGCCGAGGCAAAAAGTTCACAAAATCCCATCTCAACCAATAAGCATGGTGATGTGTGCCTGCCATCCTAGCTATGAAGGAAGCACAAGTAGGAGGATTGCCATAAAGGCTAGCCCAGGCATAAACATGAGAAATTATTTTTCTATTTGAAAAATAATTTTAAAGCAAAAAGGGCTGGCAGCATGGCTCAAGTGGTTGAACAACTGTCTGGCAAGCACAAGACCCTGAGTTCAAACCCCAGAACCAATATATGCATATATAATTTAGAAACCACTGGCTTATGTCATTTCTATGTACATAGGCATACAACACATACACCTATGAAATAAAACATTTTAAAACTTTGACTTCTCACTAATGCAGACCTATCTTGACCAATTACTGTTCATTGGTTTAAAAGGGCTGAAGTGATCTTTTTGCATCAGATCCTATATACACTCTTACTGGGGCCATCATAATTACAAACAGCTAAGCACGTTATGCTCATTAGCTCACTGAAGCTTCACTGGACTCCACGAGGCTGGTACTGTTATTGTAATTTTTTACTGATGTACAAGATCAGGAAAATAAAGCTTAAAGGGGTAAAGATTCACCCTGAATCTCACGGCTTCTAAAACATAGAGCAAATACTCAAGTCATGGTTGTTGGACTCTAAGCTGCTGTGCTAACCCACTATATTTCAGAAATGCATTTCCCCTTCATTTATGGAAAAAAATCTTATCAAGTATAACTTCAAAGCAATGATTACATCTGCATAATACTTCACCAATGGCCAATTCTTGGGTGTCACAGAGTATAATATCAATGTGTATACAGAGCACACTCCTCTTGGTTACTTTGTGGAAAATCCATGCTATACTTTAGAATTTCCAAAGAGCCACCTTGACTGTTCCTGGGGAGGGGAGAGGAGGAAAATCTATGAACCAAAGATAAGAATATGTTAAATGAGTAGTATTCTTTATATATTTCTTCAAGAAGCTCTACATTCATTAAACTGATTTTAAAAAATCACCCTGTGGAGCAGACAGCAAGACAGGAAGAAAAGACTGAGGCTTAGGGAGTCTAAGTGAATCCCAGAGTCAACATAGGACACTGGTAGGGCAGAACCCAGGTCTGAGCCTTCTTGGGGGTCTGAGCCACATCTCAGAAGTCTAGGGAAGTGAAGAAGCAAACAGTATTAGCAGCCCACTACCCACTACCACCATTGTCCCCCAGAATTCAGCAGTGACTCTACAGGCACCGGATCACAATTGTGCTTATGTACTGAGGAAAACATCAGAAGGGATAAGAATTAAATGAACAGTTTTTTCCAAGCTTCCAAAAAGCCAGTGTGAGAAGACAAGGTATGCTTAATCTGTCTGGATTGTAGACTTAAAAGAGATGCTCTTTCTGATTCCTTGGTTATAATAGGATTGTCTCAAGGATGACTTATGTCAAATTGCAACACTAGTTACAGACATCCTCAGCCCCTCCCATAGCGCCATCATCATAGTTGAAGTGTTCATCTATGCTAATATTTGGCAACACAGGGCACACAGTTCATAAACCTCATACTCACATTATGTCAAGAAAGGGTCTGTTTTAAAACCAAACATTTTCCCAGAGCATTAGTCTTAAAATACTTTAGAAATATACAAACATCAAATTAAATGTGTAAAGTCAGTAGAGGAATACAAGAGGATGGTATGGCCGCAGGAAAAGCAAGGAGCCAAAGAGGACAAACAAGTTTAAAAATGGTTAATAGACACAGCATCATCTAACACATCTTCATTAGGAGGCAGTCACATGTGTGGTCTTGACTGAAACGCCTAAGAGGGGAGCCTTTTAATTCAGTGCTTTGGGAATCACATGTGTTTTAGTTGGATAGTCCCTTATGTACTATGCAATGGAAATTTCCTTTTGATGTTTCTGTCCTTCTAATTTTGTAATACCTCTGGTGTTGTCTAAAAATAATAGTGAAGAATCATAAGATTAAACTAAAAATTTTTATTTTTCTTTAATAACAAAAAGTACAAATAGGAAAGTTAAAAGGGGAATAGCCAGGCAGAGAAGTACAGAGAACTGTTGGAGGAGGTAGAAATATACCAGCCCCTGGTTGGTTTCCCTGCTAGACCCACCTCTTCTTTTGAGATGCATCTCACAGAGCCCCTGACCTATACCTCTGCTTAGCACTCGCCATACTACCCTTCTTACACAGTCTCCCCCCGCCACTAGACAAGGAAAGCCTGAGCTCAAAGCTGCCATCTGTGTCTTAGACATCTTGGCGCCCCTGGCCTCTGGCCCAGAGCCAGCACTCATGAGAACCTTGGCAAGTGCTGGCCAAAACAGCCAACATGGCTGAGAGGCTCTGCTTTGTAGACATAGCACTTAATGCAGTCAAAACACACCTCAGTATTTCCTACCAGCGTGGCTTCCTGGGGAGGAGAGGCCGTGTGCAGCCCCTAGGAGTCAGGGCACAGCATCAACTGACAGTTAAAAGCACTAGAAAGTCTTACATTTTCTTTTTAACATTCTTGTATCATTTGCAATCTCCGTAGTTTTGTTTTGATATAAAAATGTCTTTCAAAAACTTGCTATTTTTTCCCAAGATATATTTTAGTAAACTGGATGTTCCATGAGGATGTGTGCTTCTTTTTTCTTTTTTTTTTTTTTATCTGCCATCTTTGACTGAAGTGCCTAAAATGGGAGACTTAATTCAGTGCTTTTTGGGATTACATGTGCTGGTCTGATACTTCCCTAGAGGCTATGCAACAGAAATTGCCTTTCTTTTGACATTTATGTCCTTCTGGTTTTGTAACACTTCTAGTGTTCTCCCAAAATTGTGAAGAATCCTAAAATAAAAAATTTAAATTTGCTTTAACAACAAAAAATACAAATAGGAAAGCAAGAAGAGCACAGAGAGGCAGAGACATACAGGGAAATGTCGGAGAAGCGCTATGTTCTGGGGTTGCTTACTGAGCCCATTGTTATAATGAGAAGCCCCTCCTTCTGTCTTTTCCCTTTTTCTTTTTTTATGCACCTCATGATTTGGCTTGTACCTCTGCTTCATCATGCTGGGGCAACAGTTCTTGCCTTGGGAAGCTAAAGATAAGGCATGTCACCAGCACTGTTAAAATTAGTGGTTTCCATGGCCTCCGTCAGTTTAGTTGGGTTTAGGAGACATGGGGCGCCAAGGAATTCACAACAGAACTGCTGTTAACCTTGTATGGGCAGTTCCTGTGGCAAAGTTTCTCTAGGGATAAATGCCACTCTCACTGCCCTGACCCTAACCTGAGGCCACAGTAGCTCACTAGAAGGAAGGCCTTTCAAAGTTCTAAGAACACGATCTGTTGTTGAAGGGAGCTCGGGCAGGGCAGGAGAAGGTGCTGTCACTCCAGCTCAGTCCTGGCTCCCCCCACACACTCCTCTCACTGGGGGACACTGTCCCTAGGTCATTTCTAGACAAGGGCTTTACATGACTATGTGTCCATGGTGTGAAACTGCCCACACTCAATCTGGGACTTCACAGTGCATACTTCCTGGAAACAGGCAGGACAGTTTGAGGAAAGGTGAAGAAAGGAAGTCAAAATGGATTAACTAGGCTCTGCTTTCCACTCTGCAAACAGCAGTGTTTTTAAAAAGTCGATAAATATCTCTTCACTAACTCGGCATACATGAAGAGATCACTTCACTGAGATACAGCCTCGAAAAGAGTGAGATAAAGTGAGTGAGGAGGAGATAAACTCGCTTGAAATCAATCCATCAACACTTTCCTGAGGATGAAGGGGCTCAGGATAGGGACACAGGCACCTCCTGGGTCTCCAGGTGCACCACTACCCATCACCTGCCGGCTGCAGTGCCTGTCTGCTGAACCTGTTTCTCAGAGGGCTCAGATAGCCTTGACTTCCTTCAATGGGGAGCCTTCTGAGGGTGCCTCGGGGATAGTGTGAAGATGGGTTACACATATGGGCTCTGGAATGGCACCTCCCACCACAGGTAGGGCACAGCTCTGCAACACAGGCATCCCTTTTCTGAGCCAGTCTCTCCTCAACCTTCCATATGGAGAGTCAATTCAGAGGCAAGGTGTTAAACAAATGAATTTTAAATGGTGACCCAATGATGAGGGCTATGAGAAGACCACAGGAAACATGTGGGCAAAAGTTGATCATAATTTTGCATTAAGGAAAGGTTCAAGGTCTGATTAAAACTGAATTGCAGGGATAACTCTCACAGTGACAGCAGTAGAACATCAAGCTAATCAAGGATCCTAATATCACAAGTAAGAGTTTGAAACTGTTGGGTATTTATGTGATAATCTAGGCTCATTTCTCCTTTACAACAAATCTGAAACACCACTAGAAGTATTTATAATTCCCTGAGAGTAACTAAAAAGAGCCAGGCTATGTACTAATGGGAAGAGAACCACAAAAGACAAAGGCCTCTCCCTGGGGGAGACCAAGGCTGGGAAGCCTTTTACTCACTTGTAAACCACCTCTACTCATTCATTAAGGAAACATTTTCATTAAATTAACAGTGTTTGGCAAGCATCAGAAACACAGAATCTCACAGACAGATACAGGCAGAAAGAATCACAGTTCAATCTGAAAGCAACACATCGAGGGGACATCAGAGTCCAAGTGCATGCAGAGAAGCCATCAGGGAGCAGCTGAGAGACACGCATAGCTGCCTCACACGTGGCAGCAGAAGTATGTGCAACACAGATCCAACTGCTTACCCACTAAGGACACCAAGAACCAGGTTAAGGACGAAAAATGAGCCAAGGATGATCAGACTAACAAAATACACCCATGGCCATTCCCATCCTATCGCATCATTTACCTGTAAAATGTAAGGAGATCAGTTATCAGTTATCCATTTACTAAAGAACAGAGCCCTAGTTGCAGCTGCTAGACCACTCAGTGCTTTGGCTGAAGGTTAGTGCTCCCAGGACAGGGGCTGGGGCTAGGTCCCCCCACATTTTTCTTCAAATAAGGACAAGTTCTGCTGCTGAAATCCACAAAAAGGGCCTACTGAAAGTCAGCCCAGACTAGCTCACTTAGCTACAGTTTTGTACCAATTAATGTGCATTATATTTGGATCCAAACCAAGAAAGCAATTATAAATGTATCTCATTTCAGGACTGACAAAAGGGCAAGCAACGGAAACTATTTAAATCCCAAGCAACAATGCTGATTAATTTCTGGTCAATAATTATTCTATAGCTTTCTTTCATGAAGGCTGGTGAGGTTCCAGGAAACAGCTTGATTTGGGAAGCCTCAGCAGAAAAGGCGGCATCTGAAAGCAGACATAAAGCATTTGGCACCCACCCGGTGGCCCCCTCTATAAAGCCTGTGTGGTCTTGGCAACTGTCCTCAGGACTCTGCTTTCAAGATGAAAGAGGTGTAGCTTACCCGCTCAATACACCAAGTACAAGATTTAGTACGAAAAATGACCCAAAGATGACGAGACTGACAAAATACACCCAGGGTAATTCAAATCCCATAGCATCATTCATCTGCAAGAAATCAGATGGTCTCATAGGAGTGGGTTAATAGGAGCATCTAATAAGGAAAGAGGGTCATATTAGAGACAAGCATTCTGTACATTTAATTAAACATTTACTTAGACTGAAATTGGAGACAACAGTAGCCAATACATTCATTACATATTCCCAACACACGTACAGGCACACAAGCATGCCAGAACACACGAAACAAGAGTCATTGAAGCTTTCAGGCCAAATAATAATAGATTGTGGCCTGAGGTAGGGAAATGAGCTAGGATTTGGCCCTTTGTCTCAGGAACTAATAAGAGCAATTTCCAGAAGATGGTTTTGTAGAGGACAAAACTAATGCTTAGCTGGAATCTGTTTATTTCTCTGCCCAAGTTAGTACTAATTTTGCTTTTAAATTTTGTGATGGTGGAAAAACCTTAATTACAGAAACAAACTTGTAATATTTGACTCTATAAACTTCTTTCTAAAAATAAATCTCCTAAAATAATTACATTGTATTGGAAGCCAACCTATTCAAGGAAGCCTAATCCACCTTAAATCTGGATTATCTGCAGTCAGTGAATACAGGCACAACTAAATGAATAAAAAAAAAGAAAATGTGTCTAGAGTTCAACTAGCATATTCAGAGGTCCTTTGGGAAAGGGATTTTTCTTGCCTGCACCCACAGGAGGACCCTGGCCTTAACCTAGCTCTCTCTCCCTCCCTCCTCCAGCTCCAGTTGCAAACTCACTGGGATTAGAAGTGAAAGAGGGCTGAACCAGAGGAACCCCTGATCCTACTTCTGGAAAAGCTCAAACTGCACATTCAGGCGTGGCCTCCTTGTCAGACCCTCCCAGAGAACATTTGATAGTGAACAGCTTTTATTCTGGAGCAAACAGGTGCTTTAAGGATCACAGCTGGATAGAACTTTCCAGCAGCACAGGTCACTGTTAAATTGGGCAAACACCTCTTCAAGGAAGAAGGTGTTAAGGACTAGTCAGGAAACAGAACAGATGATCCTAGACCTGACCCTGCTGGAACATCCAGAATCTTTGGCCAATAAATAATCTGGGCAGAGCTATCGTTCTTGCCTTACAGGTGCAACCCCTAAGGGTTTTTAAGCGTGTGCCTTTCTGCACATTATCTGACTCTTGGTTTTAGCTTTACAGAGTAAGGCTCATGCATTTCACAATGTTTACTTCATGCAGAAGCCAAACAGGAAAAGAGAACATTAAAAAAAATTACCTAACATCTGTTGCTGAAGTCTAGGGAGAGGGCATTAAATCCCTTATGAAACACCTGTTTGGCCACACGAAAATTGATGTGCTTAATAGAACTCGTATCAGTCTGCACATCTTACATTGGCAATTAGAGTAATGAATGAGCCAGGGACGTGGCTGCAATTGTTGATCTAATTAAGTTGGATAAACTAATTTCAGCAGGAAGGGAGAGGGTAATTCTTCCAAAGCAACTACACCACTAAACTTATTTAAAAACCCATGTGTGGAGAAAAAACAGACTGTCTGGTGTGGTGGCCAGAGCCTCGCCTGGAGTCAACACTTACAGTGGTGATCTCTCTGGGCCTATTTTCCTCTGTTGGAGCAGAGGTGCATGTGGCAGAGAGTGCTGTCACAGTGAGGGAAGGATGTACAAGTGCAGAGCTCCATGAGGAGCTAAGTCAGTTGACCAGGCCATCTGCTTCACCAACCCTCCTCAGGTCTCAGTGTGGTGTTCCAGACCATGGCTCTACTAACAGCTGACTGCTGCACCTGGGAGGGAAAAATTTCTTTAAAGAAATTGAAATGCCTTTTAATTTCTTGGGAGTTGGTGTGCAGATTTGCATTTGCTCAAATCAGAAGCATCACCTGGAATGACAGCTGAGGGCTAAACAGCAGCCACAGGAGACTACTTCTCTGCCAGAAGTCGGAAAAGAGACAAAACTTAAGCTCTAAGGGCCTTTTTCCCGACTAAGCCTTCTCAACCAACTCTCAGTTCAGAGCTAAATATTTCTTAGACCTTACTATACACATGGGGAAATTCAGGGCAAAATCAGTACTACCCAGTTGTTCCCAAAAATATGCACATTACAATAGACCAAGCATGGGGTTTCATCTGCCTGATCTTTATCAACAACAAGGAAATCAGCAGGAGCTAAAGCACTTTCATTTAGGTTAATTTTTAAAATATATCAAAGTCATCATGGAGCTAGCGGAGTGGCTCAAGTGGTAAGAGCGCCTGCTTAGCAGGCATGAAGCCCCGAGTTCAACTCCAGTGCTGCCAAAAAGAAAAAAAAAAAAAAGAGGACAAAGTCATCATGGAGTGTCACTTGGAGCCCAAGAAATAATTTTTCTATTTAGCTTCGGTTCCTTCTCATTTTAGAGGCTGAAATGCATACACTGTCTCAAAATCTAACTTAAGGCTTTTTGTTTTGTCTAGCTGTTGAAGATACTACTAAAAACTTCATAACCTTGCTTGCAGCTCCCCAGAGCATAGAAGATGAGAAAGGCAAGCTGTGGCAGATGACATATAGAGGAACTTCTTAGGTGCCTGGAATGAAGGCAACTTCCTGTAGGGGTCTGACAGCCAGCACCTCAACAGGTGTGTGCACTACTAAGGAAAGAGCTTGGTGTTCAGACCAGAGGCCATAAAGGACTTACATGGATAGCTCCTTCCTAAAACCACACTTTTAAATTAATTTTGTACATTAAAAAACATTTCCTCTCAATCGAAGAAAAAAACATTTCCTCTAAGTCAAAGGAAAATAAATACATGTCATCTAATTCTGCATCTTGTAGACATGGAAATTAAAGCCCAGAAAGATTCAGTGATCAGCCAACATCACACAACCAGACTTATCCAACCTTAATGCTTGTTCCCTGCACTACACCCTACTGTCTCTGTGGACAACAAGTATGTGTAAGTCAAATGACACTTTAATTAGGTTTATGGAGCTCAGTTTATAAAAGAGCTCTCTGATGATTTGTTTTCCAACAGAAGTTAAAAATCTAAAAATCCCATTCTCCACAAATCCAAATAGTTCTGTTCTAGGTGTGCCTTTCTGCATATGGGACCCACTGAACTTCCCTTCTCAAGACCTTGCCAGATACTTGCCAGACACTCTTGAGAATTATGGCATAAATAAGCTTGAGAACACTGACTAAATATAAGCTTGACTAGTGCAAAACAACCTCCCACAAAGACTTTGTCCACCATATAAAAACATCTGAAAGATTAAGAAAGTTGCTTGCAATGAATATTTAAAATTCAAGCTCCTTGAGCACCTGGCCAGCTCAGTCAGTAGAGCATGAGACTCTTAAAATTCAAGCTCCTTTAACTCTTAACATGTTCCCTTTATGCCCAAGTTGTGGATAAAAATATTCAGACATGGCCCACCACACTAATGAGGCAATAGGCTTGGTATACTTGGAGAATGTGAAGTCACTTTATGTGTTGAGCATCTGCTTGGTGCCAGGCTCTGGCCTGCACAGGGATGTTCTGTTCTGGAACACAGCTAAGTGGCTCCAGCTGACTGTGGCCCATAAAATATTAGGAAGACTCAGTTCCTTGGTGCCTGCCTATCTCTATGATGAGTTAATAAATGCAATCAACAAATAATTAAAAATAATCCTGATGTGTATCAGAGAGTAAGATTTTAGAGAACACTCCAGAAGACATTACTTAGCTGCCCCCTAGTGTTGTAGAAGGATTCACAAACCACTGAGGAGTGGAAGAATACCAAAGAAAGAGAACCAGGTTCTTCTTAAACCAGGGGTACCTAAACTATGACTGGAAGGCCAAATTTAGCATACTTCCTGCTTTTATATGACCCTCAAGCTAAAAATGGCTTTTACGATTTAAATAGTTGGGGAAAAATCAAGAGAAGAATATTTTATGACCTAATGAAAATCATATGAAATCCAAATTTCAGGGTTCATAAATGAAGTCTGGTTGGAATATAGTAACACCTATTCATTTATTTATTGTCTTTGGCTGGCTCTGAGCTCTAACAGCAGAGTTGAATAGTTGGGACAGGAACTACATGGCTTACCAAGCCAAGTATAAGTATATTTACTATTTGGCCACTTATTTAAAAAAAAAAAAGTGTGTAGACCGCTGCTCTAGATCAAGGACCACACCACTTACTGGAGGACCCTGGGAATGTTCAGTGGCCTTTTTATATCCCATTATCTCCATCTTCAAGATCTCAGATCATTATAAAAGTATATAGACTTGCATAATGCTTATGAATTCCTTGACTCCTCCATCCAGAATAAAGATGCTATGTAATTCATAGAGAATGGAATTATACTGTCAAATTATTAACTGTGTGATTGTCATAGTAACAATAAAGATAATAACTGTATCATCATAGGTGATACTTAAAAGTTCTCAAGAAAGCAAGTGGAAACTTGTGCATTGAGTTCTCTCTCCTTCAATCACACACTCCCAGAGTTCTCACTGCTTGACAACAGAACAATTGCTGTGAAAGAAATAATGTTCAGAAATACAACATAATGAAATTGTCCATTAGTCAAGGCATGTTGGATCAGCAGTCGATAACTCACCATGATAATAGAAGGAAAACAAAGCTAAGAGAGTCACAGATAAATTTTACTTCTTTCAAAACATCAAAATGTGTTTTCTGTACTGTTTTGGGGGCAGCATCAAAGTTTAGACTATTTGATGATGCTTTTTTGTATTTATCAGGAACTTTAAGGGAAAACTGAGACTGAGACCTCACTATGATTAGAAGTTGCAATGTAGGAGATGGAAGTAAAAATGAACCCTTCATCAAACCTGAAAGCCCCTGTGCCTGTCTTGGGCCATCCACTATACTTTCCCTCTTCCTTTCTTCTCATGAAAAGGTGTTGTCTTATGAACATAATTAACAGCAGTGATTACACACACACACACACACATACACACAACTCCTCCTACAACAATCACAAAAGAGAAGAGGAAGAACAGAGAAGCTGTAACATATTGGTGATGCTTAAACCTTCTCAAAGATTAATAAGACTCACACTTTCAGCACTGAAGATAAAAACATACTTTCTGTGCCTTACATTGAAAATACAGTCGTCCCTCAGTATCTGCAGGGGTAGTCCAGGACACAACTTCCCATGGATGCCGAAACTTGCAGGTGCTCAAGTCTCTCTCTTTGGCAGTACTGGGACTTGAACTCAGGGCCTCACACTTGCTACACAAGCGCTCTATCACTTAAGTCACTCCGCCAGCCCTCAGGCCTCTTATATAAAAATGGTACAGTATTTGCATCTGAACTCTCTACATACATGAAATCATCTCTAGGTTACTTTTAATTCATATTACTATGTAAATAATCATTATGCTGTATTGTTTAGGAATAACAAGAAAGAAGTCTGTACATGTTTAGTACAGATGAAATTTTTTCCTTATTATTTCCAATCTGCAGTTGGTTAACTTGGGAGATATGGAACCTATGGATGTGATGCCTGCAGATACAGAGGGCCGACTGTATAGGACTTTTCTATAATCTTGCAAGCATAGTGTTCACTGGTGAAGGGAAGCAAAGCCCATGTATAGCCATCATATGTTCCCTGAAGTTATGAAATAATATGAAATCCTGTAAAGTTTAGAATTTAGAAATTATTGGAAGCTACGTCTCAATTTCTAAGCTTTCTAAGTAGAAGCTATCCATTCAGGAAGTACTTTATACTAATTTCCTTCAAACAACTCATTATTGAAGTCCCTTGTTAATCCCATTTGGACTTGAATTTAGGCTCAAAATCTACATCTTAGCTGTTTTTCCCAGCAACTCTTCTATTAAGCAAAACAATTTCTGAACTTCTTTGAGCTTTAAACATTCTACCTATAAACAAACTCACCAAGGGAAACGGCTGCTATACTACCACTTTATTTATAGCAAACCCTTCCAGTTCCATCAGGAACAAGAGGAATCAGACCCTAGGCACAACTGTTGGAGAGTCTACCAGCGTTGGCAGTTTGATGTGCCTTTTCTACCCTTTCTGCTAGACTTCTATAGCTCCATAGAGAAAGGAAGAGAGCTATGGGCCTGTCCTGAGATGATTTATAATAGAAGAAAAACTCAAAATGGGCTAAGGTTGTACTGAGCTATGGGAAGCATCGAAAGGATCCAAACTATGTTCTGTATCTTCCCATTAGGATTTAGTAGAATAATCTGTCTTTATGTATAAATGGTCAGTTTTACTCTGTGGAAATCCAGGGGGCCTCTTTACCTGGGAAATGACCCTCTGGCTCTCAGAGTTTAACAGGACAGCTCTGGCCTCCTGAAGTTCCCTGACCACAGTCAACAACAATTCTGGGGAAGTGGAGGACTAAAAGGCAGGAGCCAACAACATGCCTTCCAAAACTGAGACGTATGCCTGAAGGAGCAGTATGATGACGCTCACTGAGTGAAATCAGGGTCTGCTTCCCTTTCCAAAGAACTGACTTCCAGGGTTTCTTTCTCAGCCAGCTCTTCAATGGCTCTTGCTAAGGAAACATCTTTATCCAAGTGAAGAACATGCCATAAACCCTCTCCTCAAGCTGCTTACCCAGTAGAGCACATCTGTCCAGCCTTCCATGGTGATGCACTGAAACACAGTGAGCATGGCAAAGGCAAAATTATCAAAGTTGGTGATGCCTCCATTTGGGCCAACCCAGCCACTTCTACACTCCGTGCCATTGGTGATACACTGGCGTCCATTCCCTGAGAACGCACATGGAGCTGGATCCTCTTCAGCTACGATATCTGTAAACAGAGGAAGCAGGCTGCACCACTTGGGAGAGGAACATCAGGACACCCATGCCAATGGAAGCCCAGGATCCTTGCTGGAGCCCAGAATACCCTACACCTCTCACCCAAGTCATCTTAGAAGACTAGTTGCCTTCAAGGTCCAGTTCAAATACTCCTTCCTCAGTGAAATTTGCCATTTCCTCTGGTCATAATCCATTGCTCTTCGGTCTATACTCACCTTTACACAGAGCCTTTTCTAAGCTTACAGAGCACAATGTTATTGGTTTACCTCATGGAAGTCTCTCACCTTGTTTGCTAGGACATGTTGCATAGGGAATCAGGATGGGAAAGTAGAATAAATTCTCATTTATTCTGAACATAATTTACACTAAGAACTGGCTCAGTTGACTGCTGGTATAGTTAGCATTTTCTCCCTCTTCCTTTTTTTTTTTTTTTTAAGATTTTCCCCAAACCACAAAAGTTGTTTTAGGGAAAACCAACAATTTTCAAGTTGCCATTGTCACTACTCACCTGAGTCAGCAAAAAAACATGTTTTGTGCATTTTTCCAATAAAAAGTTCCAATCCTATAATAGCATAGATTATGATTACAAATAATACCAAAAGGGCTATGTGAAGGAGGGGAACCATGGCTTTTATAATGGAGTTCAGAACAACTTGTAAACCTAGGAAAGAGAAAAATAAGTTTGTGAGCCAGGGTGACACTTCAAATTAGGTATACATATAATTCCTAATGACGCTTACTCTATTTATATCATATAGAAATAAAATACAAAAGCTATTTCAAAGCAGTTAATTAATACTAAGCCTACATGTAAACTCAGCTAAAAAGGAGCCTTAAAGATCATCTAACCCAACTCCCTCACTAAACAGATGGAAAAACTAAAGCCTACAGAGGGACAGCAATGTTAAAGTCATTCACTCATGTATGCATTTTTCATTCATTCAACAAAAGCCCTTGAACATCTACCAGATGCAAAGTATAAGGGTTAGTAGTTCCTTTGGCAAATATTAAGATGTAGAAGGAAACAAGGATTTAACACAAATTACTCTCAGGTAGCACAAAAATACTATTTGAGTAGAAACAAATAGTGAAAATTAAAGAAGGATGAAAGACATTGCCTCTGAGTAGGGCAAGGAAGGACATCTCTGAAGCAGCTTCTCCCTTGGCAGAGCCTGAAGGCTGAGTAGGATGGACTTCCACAGGTAGGCATGAAGAAAGAGAACACAGTACCAAGAGTGCAGAATTTAAGTGAGCATGATATAAACTTGGGGGTGACCACTTGATCAGTGATCATACAGTGGAAAAGAGAATCAGGAAAAAAGATGTAGGCTTCGGTCACATCATTCTGGGTTTTGAATTTGGGTTATAGAGTCAGATTTTAGCCCATCAGCAAAAGACAATTACCTTAAAAAGAGAAAGGGAAATAGGCAAGACAGGCAGAGGAGCAGTTTGGAGTGCTGGGGCTCCCTAGGTAGGTCAGAATGAGGATCAAGATGAGACCATGGTCAACAGCTGCTTGGAATGAGAAGAAGGTGCCTAGAGTGTGCTCCAGTGATCTGAGCCAGTCATAGGCAAATACCAGTGCTCTGAACAAAAAACAAGTGCTTCAAAAGGAAGCTCTTCTAGAATGAGGGAGGTAGGTGAGAAGGGTAGGGGGGTGATGGAGACTATTGACCTGTTCAATTGGATGCACCTAAAATTAAAGTGCAAGTGTCCTGTATGTGACAGGTGGGCTTGAGATGAGAGATGTGGATACTACTCAAAGCCCTGATGCAGGTACAGGTACAGCTGCCAAGGAAGTAAAAGATGATGAAAAGTGGGATGGTGGATCAAAACCGAGGATTAGGATTAGAGGGGGAGACAGGCAGGAACCCAGAGCCTGCACTGGAATCTGAGCTTTTTGACATAGTAGTTAGTGTCCTGTGTTCTCCCCCACCACCCCATGATGTCAGCTACTGCTCCATGTCACTCACTCTGCCTCCTTTCCCTTCCCCATTGTCTGTCTTCCAAACCATACCTTTTCTAGTATCTCATTTTCCCAATACCTATTCAAAGAAAGAATATAAGAAGCTGAGATGTTTAAAGTTAAAAAATTTGGAGTTGGAGTAAACCACACAAAGAGAAGAAAACCTACCAGCAATAGTAACAAAAGTTTACCATGTAAGGAACATATGGGAAGAGGCAGAGGACAGGTCAGGGAGGGCAGATTGACAAGAGGATTCTAGACATATCAAGATTCTATCTTGGTAAAGCCTTCTTTACAACTAAAATGGCAGGCACTGCCTTTAAATGTTTAAGTGGTTTCTTTTGGAAAAATGACCAATAGGATGATTTTCAACAGGAGAAAAGAAAGTATTGGCTCCTAATGTACTTGGACAAACTTTTGGTTGTTGTTGTTTTGATTTTTTTTGAGATACAGATGGACCATCCAAAATCAACTACCAGTTAGCTCTTAAATTCTGTAGCAGTGAACCATACAAGGTCATGAATATTTTGTTTACAGTAACTATTACATTTAGATTGATCAGATTTGTGAAACAACAGAGTTGAATTTTAAGATGAATATGTATACTTTCTTACACTCAGTGACTGGACATAGTCAAATTGCACAGCAGATCTCAGGGGACTCTAATCAAGGAGTCATGGGAAGGAGTGGAAACAACACCAGGCCAGGAATGAGTGGACCTGGGTCTAGTTCCATCATTGCCCACCAACTATGATAGTCTGAACAGTCACTATTTTTTCTTCTTCTTTGTGGTACTGGAATTTGAACTCAGCCCCTTGAGCTTGCTAAGGCAGTTACTCTACCACCTGAGCTATCTTTTAAGTCACTATCTTTTAACAGATCCCAGTTTGTTTATCTAAAAGAAGATATAGATAGACCAGAGGATCTTTCCCACTTATGAGTTTGGATTCTGAAAAACATTGGTTAACTGAACATGAGTGGTCAAGAACTCCACGAATGTCTGAACTGCCACCTTCTGAAATACAGTTGCCTTTCACTAAATGACTGTATATTCACACGCACATAATCTTTTTAGAAGACAGCAGATAATTTTTAGGTAAGTATAAGAACTAAAACATTTCTTCACATTTTCAACAATTTCAGGTAACAGAAGAGAAATCAATATTTAATGTTGCCAACCAGCATTAAAAATACCATGGCCCAGAATCCCTGGCTCCTTACCCCCAAACCCATTTGAGTTTGATGAGAAGATTTCATGTTCCCTGCCCGGGCAGTTAAAATATAGGCTTAAGGGTCCTTGCATAAACCAGTCATGGTAGTATACATCTATAATCCCAGCTATTCAGGAGTTGTACATCAGAGGAATCACAGTTCGAAGCCAGTCCCCACCTAAATAATAAGGTGGGCATAGCGGTACACACTTGTGATCACAGCTACGTGGGAGGTGTAGGTAAGAAAATCGGGGATCAGGGTCTGAAGCCAGCTCCAGGCAAAAAATATGAGACCCTATCAGAAAAATAAACTAAAACAAAAAGGGCTAGGGTATGGCTCAAGTGACAGAGTGCACACCTAACAAGCTTGAGGACCTGAGTTTACCAGTATCACACACTCACAAATAAAAGTCCTCGCGTAAAACTCAGCCCCGTTTCTCCCTGTTGAACTGCGGGAGAATGAGATGAAGATCTCCATCAAGTTTCAAACAGTGATGTTTCTTGGGGAAAGGAAGAAAAAACTACAGCTAAGAGCTGATTTTGCTGAGTATCTAGGGCTATGTAGTCTCCATCTATAGAAACTTCACTGGCCTGCAGAATCAACACGGCACTCTACCCGTTTTAAGAGTGTTCATTGGCCAGAGACTCATGCACACACAAGCCATGGCCCTGTGAGTGCATTTGGCATATGCCACAGACAGGCTGTCCTGTCATCTGCTCTTTTGGAGGGGGGGGGAAACTTGCCGTGATTACTTTGAAATTAGTTAGATTAAGCTACAACAACTAAATCTGAAAGAACGTATTTGCTAACTGAACTTCTCATTTAATCATGTTACACTTAACAGTCATTCCAAGGTATTTCTATTTTTCTCAATTGCGTCCAGAACAGTTCTGTGGTTTTGACTTATGCTGATCTTTTTCAATTAAAATAAATGAACCATCTGGAAAAAGAAGTACACATAAAACACTACTTCCTACATTTTAAAATGTTAAATTTGGCAATCTTTTTTTTTCCAGAGGATTTTTGGTGCATTCTGAGTGCCAACAGGTTTAATAAAATTTCATGAAGAACTTTTGGAGAAGCAAAAAAAAATCTGTGCTCTTCCAATGGCTTTACGAGTTGTAGAAAACAGGCACACCATTATAGTCTTGTTTCCTTGCTCTGTCTCTGAATAAACAAGCACCTCTGAAGCACCAGTCCTAAGAAAGGTGTTAAGACTACCTCTACCCTCTTAAGCCCTCAACATGGGGAATTCTTTCAGGGGCAGATACCCTACAATTCCTTTGGCAGCATAAGAGGCCAGGGCATAGACAGGGCATCTGTTCCAATTCAGGTGTGACTCAACCCAGACTGGAGGTATGAGCCAAAAGCAAAGTAGACCCTGGCACTGACTGGTATTGTAACCCAGTGAGTGACAACAGTCTCTCTAACTCCTTGAGAGACTACTCTGTGTTCCAGACAACCTGCTAGGGGTCTCTCTCCCTTATACCATTAGGTTCTAACCCTGTACACAGATGTGGAAGCTGAAGTGTTCATCCTTCTCCTCACAGTGGGACAGACACAATCCCTGACAGTGGGTGAGCTGAAGAGTTTTCAGGAATCCAGCCCTGTGTTGCTGCCACTTTGAAAAAAGACTATGACCTGAGCCCTCCATATCATCATCTATATTACCTAGTATTCACAGAGGGTCAGGCCTGGGAGCTGGGTCAGAAAGGAAAACCAGATTGGAATCAGGAGTCCTGAAACCTAGGTCTCTTACCACCACCCAGCCTCTTTGCAACAGGAGATTCTTCTGCAAAAGCAGGATGACAATTATCACCACCTGTCTACCCCCTCTTCAGGGCTGTCACAGACATCCACAGAGAAAATGCAAGCCAAAGAGTTCTGTCAACTATGAAGGCCTGTACAGTAAGCTGCGAGGCCCCTGATGGGTGCACAGCAACTCACCTTAGAGTACTCTGTTTCTTCATCCTAAGACCCACCCAGAAGAAAAAGACCAGCACACTCCTCCATCTAGAAAACAAAATGTGCTTACTGGGCACTCCTGACACTAGTCGAAGAGGTCGTAACACTCGGAAGGCACGGAGGGCTTTGACATCAAAGCCTCCTGATTTGCCGCTAGAGTGGTTCCCGCCTTCTGTTTCTTTGGTTAATTGTTCCAAAATGACACTAAACAATCTGAAAGAAGAGGAAAGAAAGAAGCGTTACAGTCTATCACCCAGGGAAACAAAAACAGAATGATAAAAGTAGTTATTTTTGAACAAGTTATTTTTGAAATGAAAGCAAAGGCAAAAAATCTAAACCTGACCCCTCTATAGAAAAGCATTTGAGACAGGGACTAATCTTCCCTGTTTTTGTACAAATGGAGCAGCCAGGAACAAAAAGAGCCCCATAGAAGTGGAACTCACTGGGGATCTAGCAATGACAAGTAGAACTGCCCAGGCTCAAATGACAGCAGTGATCTTGGTGGTTACCACTTGTGAGCACTTGCTATGTGCTAAGCACTTCACAAACACTGATTCTCATAGAATTGTTATGCAGCAGGAATCACTTACACCATTTTACACATATGGAAAGAAACTTGAGGGGAACAAGTAATGTGCCCAAGACCACACAACTAGTGGCAGAACTAATATTGGTAGTTGGCCCAGTTCCAAAAGGGTAAGAAGTTTTAGTTCATTTAGTCTGCTCTAGTCTAGTGCTTAAAACAGTTCCTGACACATGCAAAGTGCTCAAAAATTTTTTGATGAGTAAATCAATGAATGAATTCAAAGTCCCACATTTTAATGTGCTATACCACTTCCAGTGCAGTCACTGACACACACCCCTCCACACACACACCAGTACCCTCATGGGGATAGATGGAGAATGATGTAAATTACAGATGCTAAGGAGCTGGGGTGTGCAAAGGCTAAAAGTAGTTACTTAGAGAAGTATTAATATCATTTTCTCTTTTGAAATGTGAGTAATATTGTATCTGGCAGCCATGGTAAGTTTTTTTTCCTACTCTCAGAAGGTTTTCCGGATAAAACTATTTTCAGGCAATTTGCTCATTTGACAGTTACTTTTGCTCTTTCAAATAAATATTTACTCTTTGGAATTGTTGCTTTTCAGAATAAATATGAATTTTTCCATTGCAAATAGCATCAGCTCTGGCCAATCAGATTATGGAAATGACTGGCCCAGCAACAAAGAAAAGGTTTCTAAAGTTTAATTAGCAGCCAAAGCAGAAATTCTGCCCCCACTGGCAGGCAGGCCTCTAGATCACCAAGACAAAGTCCATAAAACACAGGGTGGTCTGATCGTAGTTCTGATTGGGCATAGTCATATCATTCTAGGGCATTTATAGAGCAGCCCTTTGTTTTTTATAACAGTAGAACAATTAGCAATGAACCCAGGAGGGAAAATAAGACGCCTCTCTACCTTCTCAAAGCTTCTGATGGTGGGCTCTCTTTACTTATGACTGGGGAAACATCAAATTTATGACAGGTTTCTCACTGGCATAGCTTTTAAAAAGTATTGCAAACTTCTACAGCAAGGGTAATGTTAAAAGTCTCTCCTCCAAAACAAGTTCATAGCTTCACAAAAACAAAACAAAAGGAAGAAGGAAAACCTCAAACTCTTCTGAAATGTGGAAGCCACAGAAATTTTTCACGCTAAAAGGTTAGGAAAATAATTTATGCAGGTGGTGACTTAAGATTGCTTTCAAGTATCGGCATTTTGCAATGTGCACTTCAAGGTCCTTTTATTCCACCACCCCCCACCGCCAATTCTTCAGCAAAGTCCTTGAAAACAGGTGGATAATGTCTCTCTCCCGTTACAGAAGAGCCTGAATCAGAGAAAGAAGCTGGCTGTGGTTCCCAGATGGTGGGGGGCTGGAAGGGACCAGGGTCATTTCTAGTCCTAAGAACTCTGAGACATTAGGAAAGTCCCTCTCTTTCTCTAGGTTTCAGTTTCCCCGATAAAACTAGATCAAAGGATCCAGAACCCTGCCCACTCCATTCTCATATTCTACGATTCTATTCCCCTCACCCACACCAAAAAAAAAAAAAATAATAATAATAACAATAAAGGAAAAACAAATCAACACCATGTACCTGAAGAGATAAAGACACAAGGGAAAGCAATATTGGACCCTAGATTGTTATTAAAAGTTTATCTAGACTGAAGGTATGGCTCAAGCAATAAAGCACCTGAAAAGTCTGAAGCTCTGAGTTCAAATCCCAGTCCCATCAAAAATTTGCCCCAAGAGAAGAGGAAAAAGGCAAGAATTGGCCCAAACTGTCAAAGGTCAGAAGCACTAGAATGAGGGCAACATGTTTTTCTTCATGAAAGCTTAAGTCATTAGCCCAAATGCCTGAAATCAGAGGAGTAGTACAAAAGTTGACTTATATCATACTCTTCTGTAAAGGGAGTAACTTTAGCTATGGTAGCCCAGTGGGTTCTCTTGTGATCACATTACTAACAGTTAATATTTTAGAAATATTCATAGCTTTCTTAACATCTCAGGTAGTGGGAGAACTGAAAATCCACTGACTTGAGATACAGATTGTAGCTGGAAACTGTAGTGAACAGAAATTTGATTCAAATGAAGACATAATTCATCCTTTCCTTTAAAAAAACTTCTGCAATTCCATCCATTTGCCAGCGAATGATAACATTTCGTTCTTCTTCATGGCTGCATAGAATTCCATTGTGTATAGATACCACATTTTCTTAATCCATTCGTCAGTGCTGGGGCATCTTGGCTGTTTCCATAACTTGGCTATTGTGAACAATGCCGCAATAAACATGGGTGTGCAGGTGCCTCTGGAGTAACCTGTGTCACAGTCTTTTGGGTATATCCCCAAGAGTGGTATTACTGGATCAAATGGTAGATCAATGTTTAGCTTAAGTAGCCTGCAAATTTTTTTTCCAGAGTGGTTGTACTAGTCTACATTCCCACCAACAGTGTAAGAGGGTTCCTATTTCCCCGCATCCTCGCCAACACCTGTTGTTGGTGGTGTTGCTGATGATGGCTATTCTAACAGGGGTGAGGTGGAATCTTAGCGTGGTTTTAATTTGCATTTCCTTTATTGCTAGAGATGGTGAGCATTTTTTCATGTGCTTTCTGGCCATTTGAATTTCTTCTTTTGAGAAAGTTCTGTTTAGTTCACTTGCCCATTTCTTTATTGGTTCATTAGTTTTGGGAGAATTTAGTTTTTTAAGTTCCCTATATATTCTGGTTATCAGTCCTTTGTCTGATGTATAGTTGGCAAATATTTTCTCCCACTCTGTGGGTGTTCTCTTGAGTTTAGAGACCATTTCTTTTGATGAACAGAAGCTTTTTAGTTTTATGAGGTCCCATTTATCTATGCTATCATTCTGAGTGAGGTTAGCCTGGCCCAAAAGACCAAAAATCGTATGTTCTCCCTCATATGTGGACATTAGATCAAGGGCAAACACAACAAGGGGATTGGACTTTGAGCACATGATAAAAGCGAGAGCACACAAGGGAGGGGTGAGGAAAGGTAAGACACCTAAAAAACTAGCTAGCATTTGTTGCCCTTAACGCAGAGAAACTAAAGCAGATACCTTAAAGCAACTGAGGCCAATAGGAAAAGGGGAACAGGTACTAGAGAAAAGGTTAGATCAAAAAGAATTAACCTAGAAGGTAACACCCACGCACAGGAAATCAATGTGAGTCAATGCCCTGTATAGCTATCCTTATCTCAACCAGCAAAAACCCTGGTTCCTTCCTATTATGGCTTATACTCTCTCTACAACAAAATTAGAAATAAGGGCAAAATAGTTTCTGCTGGGTATTGAGGGGGGGAGAGGGAGGGGGCAGAGTGGGTGGTAAGGGAGGGGGTGGGGGCAGGGGGGAGAAATGAACCAAGCCTTGTATGCACATATGAATAATAAAAGAAAAATGAAAAAAAATTTAAAAAAATAAAAAAAACTTCTGCTCTTGCTTTGACCATAACTTAGTCCATATTTTAGATAAAGAATAATCTGATGGTCTAAATTTTTTTAAACTTAATAAGAGAAACCAAGTCCATTTCTATTTTTAAATTAGTTTCCTTGATGATTTTAACTTTTAAAATCAATTTCATTGTAGTTTAAATATAATAAACTGTACCTATTTGAAGTGTGCAAATAAGTTATAATAAATATAAAAGTTAAAGCAACAAAGACAGCAACCAAGACAGTATTTCCAACATCTCAAACAGCTCTCTCGTGCCTACCGTCAGTCATCCTCCCTGTAAGCCCAGTTGCAGGTATCCACCAATTGCCTACTTATCCATGTAAGTTTTTCCCTTTTTTCCAACCTAAACAGAACCATGTAGTATATTTTTTGCCTATCTTCTTTTACTTGCCCATAATGTTTTTGAGATTCATCCAAGTTGTTAAATTTATTGGTAGTTCACTTCTTTCAATTGTTAAATAATAGACCATTATATAAACATACCACACTGAGTTTAACCATTTACCTGTTGTGGAATATTTGGTTTATTTTCCGTTTTTCTCTACTGTGAATAAAGTCTTTTTGTGGACATGGGTTTTCATTTATCATAGATAAATAGCTAAGAAAGAACTGGTAATATGGTCACATTGTAAATGTGTTTAACACTGTAAGAAATTGATAAGTTTCCCCAGAGTGGTCAGGCCACTTTCTGTTTTGACAAGTAGACTCTGAGCGTTCCAGTTCCTCCACATGCTGATGAATGCTCAGTACTTCTTGGTCTTTTTACATTTAGCAATCCTAGTGGGCATGTAATACATCACTGTGGTTTTAGCCGGCATTTCTCTAATTACCAACAATGCTGAGGGACTTACTGACCGTTCACTGTGTTTTATTTAAGCAGTGCTGGGAATTGAACACACACACACGCACACATATATTTTAATGAAGATCTGTTCAAATGTTTGTCCTTCCATGTAATGGGTGGTCTTCTTACTATTGAATTTTAAGAGTCCTTTATATATGCTGAATAAAGGTTCTTGTCAGGTATCTCTACTGTAAATATTTTTCCATGTCTGAATTGCCTTTTCATTTTCTTCACACTGTCTTTTGAAGAAAAGTTTTAAATTTTGATGAAGCTGAATTTTTCTATTATCCCTTTTATGGCTAATGCTTCTTATACCTGAGAAACCTCTGCCTACCCCAAGATCATAAAGACTTTCTTCCAGAAATT